TTCCGTCAAGACCGTTTTTCCAATCCCAGGTCTTCCAATCACCAGAATGCTACGAGGAAATTCTTCCTTCATTGTATCTCTGTTTGGATAAAATAAATAGTCAATGTTTTCTAAACGTATGGAGGTTTCAGGTACTTCCATATATACATCGTAGATCTCGTGGTTTTTTATGTCTTTAGAGAACTCGTGCTGAGCTCGTCCAGTATGGATAACAACGTCAATATACAAATCATCTATATCATTTTTTTGTATATAATGTATGTCAGGTGCAAGAGAACGATTCAAAACTTGTTGTCGGTAAAAAGGTATATGGTCCTGAATCGTAGAGTCTAGAATGCTGTTGTTCATTGTGCTACGGCCTGGAAGGTTGATACAGATTTATTGTGCATAATCTGGATATTGTATATCATCATCACTCATGTAGTCTACTGGACAATTATGTGATTTTGAGATGATTTTGCCCATTGTTTTTCGTTCCTTAGCGCAATTCCAGAGTGTTGTGATCCTGAGCGCTGCTGTCCTGATTCCTAGAAACCTGCAATGTAACAGTGTCTATGTACTTCGTATTTTACAAAGAAACAATGTTATAAAATAACATATATGTATATAACGCGTGCTCTGATTGGTCCGAAACCCGTGTTTGGATCAGGCCATCCAAACACGGAAGACTATCGTGTTGTTGTTATTTTATAAAACAATTACTTTATGGTTTCCCTGTTAGGATGTCCTGATCCAAACACTTGGGAATGTTGCTCGAGTTAAGAAAAGCGCGCAAAATCACTCGCCTTCGGCTCGTGTTCGCGCGCTTATTCTTAACTCTCGCAACATTCCCGCGTGTCTGGATCAGGATATCCAAACACGGAAACCATAAAGTAATTGTATATTGTATAATGTTTGAAATGCTACTAATGCAGCAATTTAAGCAAAATATAAGCCAACAACTGTGACAATTACAGTATAATAATTGTGCATGACATAGGCCGTATTCTGTGGCACAAAAAGTCGCTTAGAAAACGAATTCCGTTGCCCGGGTTCGGGCACTACTTTGAAACAAGATAAATAATTAGGATAAATTATACAAAGTCCAAATCCGCTTGTTTGCACTTCCCAAAACCTGCAG